CTCCAGCAGCAGGGTCTGCAGGTGAGAGCTCGGCGCGGGAGGAGGGGTCCGAAGCCGGGGCGCAGAAACAGATGGCAGAGGGTCTGGTCCCCATGGCGGCTGGAGCGGGGCTGGAGGGGTGGAGGGGCTCGAGCATCGGAGGCGTCTTTGTCGCCGCGGGATCACAGGCGCCTGGACTGGCAGCGTGAATCCTCAGCCCATCCTTCTTGAGGAAGGTGATTACTGGCTGCGGTGACTTCCAAAATGAGAGAATGCAAATTGAGTAGGGCTTTTTTATATATATATATGGCGATATTTGCTGCCGTAGTTCGGTTTTTACCCTTGTAATGATGAGCTGTCAAACTTGAAACATTAGATGCCAGTGCTTGCCTAAGTAGTGTGCTGTACCCGAATCGTTTTTTGTTCTGATGCTGCACCTTGGAATTGGCAAGTGGAAAGCATGACCTGCTTCCTCCTCCCAGACCTGGAAAGCTTCGATTGGAAAGGTCCTTCAGTATTTTGGGCAAACAGTAATGGGGGTGGGGAGCGGGGGTCCTTGAAGACTCAAAGGTTTTCTCCAGATTTTTCAGTTTTAAAAAATTAAGCTGTTATATTGTAGATGCCGCCTATATAAAATACCCCTACTAACCAAGTGTCTATGAAATCACTAAATAAATCTAACCTTAAGCCTACTTTTAAGAACAGAATAAAAAAATGAAGCAGCCTTGTTTAATCCATACAACAGCCTCATTTGGCAGGTTTTAATATCTTCATTTTCCAGATTTAAAGAGGTTAAGTAATAAGTAAGGTTCTGAACGTCAGCCAAGGCGATATTTGAATTGCTGTATTCCTGAAACCAAAACACAGCTTGCTTCCGACAATGCCAGGCTGCGGAGGATAATTAGAATGAAAGAAAATCAGAAACCATAGAATGAATGGGTCAACTCTCTCAATTCTTTCGTTTTACAGAATAAGACCCTAAAGGCCATAGTTGCGATTGACCCAGGGTAACACTGAGTTTATGAAAGTGCTTCCAGTTTATTGTTAGAAATGACACATCTGAAAAATCAAGTTTTTACTTTAAGGAGAAAACATACTTGTACTGCATTTACAAACATAGAGTTATTTTTAAAATCAGTTGTAAAAGAATGTCTCTAAATGAATTTTCAGTTTAGAAGAATGCAAATGTTAATTAAAATAATGTGAATAAAATGAATTTAATGTATTTAATATATAGAGAAATATTTTGCAAGAAAAACTGCTGCCAGTACTGCAGTCCTGTTTGAATAATACCTAATTCTTTTTTTTAAATACATTTTTATTGATTTTTTTACAGAGAGGAAGGGAGAGAGATAGAGAGCTAGAAACATCGATGAGAGAGAAACATCGATCAGCTGCCTCTTGCACACCCCCTACTGGGGATGTGCCCTCAACCAAGGTACATGCCCTTGACCGGAATCGAACCTGGGACCCTTCAGTCCACAGGCCGACGCTCCATCCACTGAGCCAAACCGGTTTTGGCAATACCTAATTCTTAAGTTACTTACATAAAATGTATACTACTCCCACTGACTGTAACTTCTAATATGTAAAACAAAATAAATTACTATGTCCAGGTTACAGTTAAGATTATATTAAGATTCAGTGTTCAGGGCAAGACATACAAAGGTCAGTAATCTTCCAATTATCTCTGCTAATGGAGAAAAGCAGTCATGTAGGTAATTTGTTCAATAGGTAATGAAAAAAATAATTTATATTACTTTGCAGGACGAATTATAATGAGTTTTCACAAAGCCTTTATTTTAAACTTTGGAATCTTGGGTTTATAAACATCACTCCCATGTTTAAAGGGCTCCTCATATTCCAAACTCCTTTGCTTTATAAATAGAGCCTAACTCTATCATTTCCTGTCATCCTTCTCTCCTGGTTGACTACTAGCTGACTCCCATTTTTTTTTTCTTCGAAGACTAGCCCAAGTTCACCTCTTTGGCATGATTTTCCTAACAGTAGTCCCTGTCATGCCACACTTCACTCCCCACTTGTAATAAAACTTATCATTCTGTATTATATGTGTTGCTTTACTTGTCTCTCCTCCACATTCTAAACCTCTGTAGAGAAGAGATCATTTTGCCCCTTGTTTGCTTTGCATTCATGGGTTATGCTTCATATATATCACATAGTGCATACTCAGAAAATGGTTTCTGAATGAATAAAAGAAAAATATGAGAGAAGCATAAACAATGACTTCAACTATATTACAGATCATATATAGTTTCATGATCACATAGCTTCATGTCTGAAGGCATAAGCCTCATTTTTTAGGGTTTTCTTGGAAAATATTTTAAAGTTCTAAGCAGAACTCATTCAACCATCAGACATTTACTAGGCATTCCCTACCACTGTTCAATTTAAAACAGCACTTAGTGTAATGTGTAATTCTTTTGTTTTCTAGTTTGTATGTTCCTCTCACAGGCTGTAAGCTTCATAACTGTATTTTTTTCTATAAACATGTAATGGAAGCCTTAAACATGTTGCTAGGCACCAGAAATGGAGAATGAGTAAAATTTCGGTATTGTGCTGAAGGAGTCACACAATCGGAATAGACTAATACATAGCAGATGTTGTGATGAAAGTATGTACATGATGCAATATAGTAGTGTAAGAAAGAATATTCGTTTTACTTGAGGAATTCCAAAAAGCTTTCATAATGGAAATGACATATGTCAGATCTTAAACAGTGGCTGGCAGGAAAGCATTCCAGTTTCACACTAGAATGCAGCAAGTGTATGTGTTCAGAACACTATACACAGCTCCCTTGGCTAGGGCACAGGAGTGCTTAGGGAAAGTGGAGGGGAATCAAGCAATAAGACTGAAGGGGAAAGCTGTACACAGAACATGAAGGAAGGCCTTGTGTGCAATACTGAGGAGTTTGGATATTATTGATAATAAAAAAACTTTTTACTATTGCTAGACCTTTTACAGATGTTATCTTATGTGATACTCCCATCATATGAGACTGGCAGTTTAGTTGCTGCTTTAGAGATGAGAACTCCCAGGATCACAGTAGTTATTGGCATTAGCTTGTTCAAGTCCCACAGATAGGAAGTGGCAGCGTTTAGACTCCAGCCAAGAACTCTGACCACATGCTCTTAACCACTAGAGTATATTGCTGCTTTAATGTCTTGGTAGAAGATATGTTTACATTATAAAAGAATATTTTTTTAAATTTATTTATTGTCTAAAGTTTTACATGTCTCCTTTTCCCCAATATAAAAGAATATTAAGTGACAGAAAAGTTTCATGTTAATCAAGTGAATAAAGCTGATCACAAGAAATACAGTACAGTTTCATTTTAAATTTATCTGCATTCTAGGTTTTCTACAGTCAGCAATTATCCTACCTAATAAAGAGGGAATATGCTAATTGACCCTCACATCATCACAGAGATGGTGGCACCCACAGCCAATAAGGAGGGAGTATGCTAATTGACTGCCCCACCCTCAAAGATGGCAGCACCCACAGCCACAAGATGGTGGCGCCCAGTCCCCTCGGCCCCGCCAGGGCAGCAGGCATGCGGCAAGGCTGGCCCTGTCCCCAGGTGGGTCCAGCTGCTCTGTGTGCCTGCCTCCAGAGTCCCCTAGTCCCCTCAGCCTGACAGCCATCTAGGGCTGACCCAGAGGCACAGGCAAGCCTCAGATGGCGGCTGCCCAGCCACCCAGGGCCACCTGAGGCTCAGGTAACCAGGGTCCGGCTGAGGCTTGTGCTGCCATCAGTGACAGCAGCAGAGGTGTGACGGGGGCGTAGCCTTCCCCTGATGACCAGGTCACCTCCTGCCCCTGAGGGCTCCTGGACTGTGAGAGGGGGCAGGTCAGGCTGAGGGATCCCCCTTCTAGTGCATGAATTTTCATGCACTGGGCCTCTAGTCTTTATCATAAAAATGCATAAATATTTTCATGAGAATGACAGGCATTAGAGCTATAATTGGAACTTTAGTTCAAATTTTTGGGTTAAAGCTTTTTCTAATTTTTCTGGATAATATAAACTATTTGAACTTAGTTTATATCTTAAAATTCAGATGCAGGTGGTCCCCTACAAAAGAACATGTAATTAGATCCCATCCAAGTAGCTCAGGTTAGAGTGTCATCCCCATACACCAAGGTTTCTAATTTGATCCCTGGTCAGGGCATAAGAATCAACCAATGAATGCATAAGTAAGTGGAACAACAAATCAATGTTTCTTGCTCTCTCTCTCTAAAATCAATAAAATTTAAAAAGAACATATAATTAAATTATTATTGAGCATAATAATCTTTATATTTATTTAGCATATATTTTGAAGGATACAAAAATTTTGTAAAACAGGGTATGCCTGTCCCCAAAGATGAGAGAAGCTAAAGAGTTCATTTTACTAAATTTTAAAAACTATTTTGAAAAGTAAATAAAAAATTTAACATTTTTATCAAAATTGTGTACCTGAAATTTATGCAGAGATTCATAAAGCATTAATATTTTCAAAAACTGGTCTGGGTCCAATATTTTAGAAAACTTTTGTATTAAAATAGCATAGCATCTTTTATATTAAAATAGCATGGCATCTACATTTGCTTAGTATATTCTTTGTGTCAGGTGCTATATATATAACTTGTCATTAAATCCTCAAAACAATTCTGTGTAATATATCCTTGGTATTAACCTAATTTTATAAATGCAGAAACTAAGACTCAAAAAAGTTCAGTAACTTGCCCAAAGTTGCATACTATAAATATTCAGTACATTTATATTAAATTATTTGTAAATTAAATATATATTTTTAAATATTTTTTTACTGATTTCAGGGAGAGGAAGAGAAAATTAGAAACATCAATGATGAGAATCATTGATTGGCTGTCTCCCGCATGTCCCACACTGGGGAACGAACCTGCAACCCAGGCATATGCCCTGACTGGGAATTGAACTGTTACCTCCTGTTTCATAGGCCAGTGCCCAACCACTGAACCACACTGGCCAGACTGTAAATTAAATATTTAAAAAACTCTAACATTCCTTTAGAGTAATTCCATTTAGTTGCCAGACATTTAGTAATCATACCCTTGTACTTTTTGTTTCAGGCAGAAAATGTAACTGTGACAAAGGATTTTAGAAGAGTGGAAAATGCTTATCACATGGAAGCAGAGGTATGTACTTACAAATAATTGAAAACAGCATGACTTTGTGTGAATAATTTGCATTTATTTTTGTTCTTGAACTGAAATGTACAGGAGAAATGTTTCTCATGGTATTGATAAAAGGTTTTCTCAAAATCATTTTTGGTGTTACATATCTGTGAGCTTTTAAAATAAATGTAATGAGATATACTTAAGAGAAGTTGTTTTGAAATGCAATAAAAATAGCAAGGGGGAAATAGCAGTTAATTACCACCTGAATAAAACTTTATAATATCATTACATAGTGAGCAGGAAACACTACAAGAGAGAAATTTCTTTTTAGATAAAAAGCAAATTAATAAAGTCATAACAAAGGATTGAAACACTTTTTTAACATTCTTTTGTTTCACAATGCAATTTTATTGTGTTGTGGAAAGAACAAAATAGTTTTGTATACTCAATGATAACATTTATTTCCTACAACTGTGTATACTTTTTACTGATCTTTAAAGATTTTATGATCAGAATTTATGAATCAGAGTATGTTATAGTTGTGATTAGGTTACAGGACTGCTGTCTGTTTCTGATTAGGAACATCCTGGGGTATGTGCTTGGTGCATGCTTGCTGCCTTGCCACGGGAAGCAAGAACGGGGTTAGAGTGGAACCTTACTTATCTAGTCAGAGAATCTTTGCCTTTAGAGGTGGAAAATACTCAAGAAATAACCTAGCCATACCTTCAGGCAGATAACATTTTATTATCAGAAAGTAAATTATTATTTAATGTACAGAAAGTACATTAGAGCTGCTTGTTTTATTATAAGGCATAGCTAAATGAGAACTTGGCTAAACTCTGCTCATCTTCCTTCTGCTGTACTTACCTTTTTTATATCTAGTACTCAAATTTCTTAAGAGAGAATCTGATTATATTTTGTATAGGGCCCCCTGGTACACAGAACTCATATCACACAATTCAGTGCGTGCTTGCCCTTAAGTCAGCCTCAGCAGTCAGCAGAAACCAGGTTGGTGGGCTCACAAGGTAAAGAACAATGTGTGGCTTTATGGATGCGGATGTCGTGAAAAGTAATACCTAATGTCTTACATACACCAAGATTCTCATGGACAGTTAAATATATACATTAAGAATAGATGGTAGAACATTACTTTTCATGTAATATCTGAAACTTTCATCCTGAAAGGCACTCTAAAGATTCTTTATCCTTCCACCTACCATGCTGCTGCTGCTTATCTATATACTAGAGGCCCAGTGCATGAACTTCATGTAAAGGGAGGGTCCCTAGGCCAGCAATCAGGGCCGATTGGGGCCTTCCAGCTGCCAGCTGGGCCTTCCTTCGTTCCATGCACCCCTTGGTGGTCAGCGCACATCATACTGAGCAATCAAACACTTGGTCTCCCAAACTCCCGAGGGGACACTTTGCATATTAGCCTTTTATATAGATAGATATAAAAGCCTAAGCAACTGTTCAACTGGTAGCTATGATGCACACTGACCACCAGGCGGCAGACATTCAACGCACAGGCATGGAAACATGGAATAAACTGATGAGTCTTAGAGGGAAGTAGAGAGCGGGGAGGATGGGAAGAGATTAACCAAAGATCTTATGTGCATACTAGAGGCCCGGTGCACAGATTCATGCATCAGTGGGGTCCCTTGGCCTAACCTGCGGGGATCGGGCTGAAATCGGCAGTCCAACATCCCCTGAAGGGTCCCCGATTATGAGAGGCACAGGCCAAGGGACCCCACCGGTGCACGAATCCGTGCACCAGGCCTCTAGCTATAAAGATAAGAAGATGGAAAGTTAGAAATTATTTAAGTGACATCTTTAAAGGTGGATGAATGGTGGTTTTGTGTAAGGAGGGGATTTGGATTAAAAACATAGGCTTTGTAGTTCATATATCCACATAATCTCAGTGTTAGAAGGGATTTTAAAAGCCTGGGATATAAGAGACTGAGTAGCCGAGACCGGTTTGGCTCAGTGGATAGAGCGTCGGCCTGCGGACTGAAAGGTCCCGGGTTCGATTCCGGTCAAGGGCATGTGCCTGGGTTGCGGGCACATCCCCGGTGGGAGATGTGCAGGAGGCAGCTGATCGATGTATCTCTCTTATCGATGTTTCTAGCTCTCTGTCTCTCTCCCTTCCTCTCTGTGAAAAATCAATAAAATATATTTTTAAAATAAATAAATAAATAAAAGACTGAGTAAATGTCTTTTGAATAGAAAAAGCAGTATAACCACTCAGACAGTTTTCCCCTCTCCTTTTCATTGCATGTTTTCCATTGTCAGGTGTTTTCCATACATTATGGAAATCTTGCCTGGGATTGAAATCTTGCCTTGTCTAGCCCACTAGAATTAGTTTGTTCAGTTTTATCTGCCCACCTTTTTTTGGAAATTAGAACTACACATACTTTTAGGGAGGATTTTGGCCCATTACTTTATGGTAATTTAGGTTAGCAATTATAATTCAGAAGGCTTATATGCAAAACATTTCACTAGCCGAGATTTGATTTATCCAGGAGATGAATTTATTTAAAGCACTTAAAATCTCACCTATTTTGGAATTCAGTTTCTACTTTATTACTGAAATGCTAAACTAATGGGGATTCTTCTTGACCAGAGATATGAAAGCATTTATATGATAATATCAATCTGTTTTGTACTTTAATATAGCTAGTACAGGCCAATCTAATTTACTACAGTAATAAAATAAAAAAGAAACACCATATGATCATATCAATAGATGCAGAAAATGCATTTAACAAAAATCCATTATCTATTCCTAATAAAAATTCTCAGCAAGCTAAAATAGTAGGGAACTTCTTCAAACTGATAAAAAAAAATCTATGAAAAATCTACATATTTAATGGTGAAAAAACACTAAATACTTGTGCCTAAATCAGGAACAAGACAAACATAGCTACTTTCATGACTTCTATTCAACATTGTACTTGAAATTTTCTGGCTAAAGCAGTCAGGCAAGAAAAAGAAATAAAAGGCATCCAAAATAGAAAGTGAGAAGTAAAATTGTCTTTATTCATGGATAACATGACCATCTATGTAGAAAATCTGATGGAACCTACAAAAGAGCTATTAGAATTGATAAGCAGCAAAAATATAAAATACCTATGGATGAGTCTGATTTTAAAAATGTGAAAGAGCTATAACTGGAAATTATAAATCATTGCTATGAGAAATAAAAGAAGACCTAACTAATGGAGAAACATACCTTGTTAGTGATTTGGCAGTCTCAATATCATTAAGATATCAGTTCTTCCTTAAATATATATAGCTTCATTATAGTCCCAATCAAAATCCCAGTAAGCTTTTTAAAATAATATAAGTTGACAAAATGATTATAAAATACCTTATTTACTTAGAACTGAAATCAGACCGATCATAGTCTTCACTGGATAGCATTTATGATTAAAGGCAACTGTTCTGCTTGTATAAGATGACTCGGGAGGTCAGGTCACCCCTCTCTCTTTGCTATTCCTGTTTTCTGTCCAGTACCTGTACTTTTTTGTTTTACATATTAAGCTTGTGTAAACTTTCCTTAAAAGAAAGGTTTAGTCTGCTTCCTTAAAAAGGTTTTTAAGACTACAGTTTTGTCTTGCTAACTATAGGAATTCCTCCCACATATTTATAGAAAGGGGACATAATGAAATAGATGTTTCCACATATAAATCTGAAAATAACTACTGGAAGAAGAAACATACCTACCTCACTGACAGCAGTGAAGTGAACTATGATGTAATTACTGCTAATCAGAAAGTTAATGGCATAGATTCGACTAAGGAGTCATGAAAAATTTATCAGAGTTAGAATTCAGCCAAATAATAAAGTTGAAGGGGGAAAACCTCCATTTCTCTTTCATAAAAAGTCCCTGACTGGTTTAAAATGTATTTTTAAATATTCAAGTTAATATTAGATAAAATTCATAAGCAAAAATAAATTTAATAACAAAATAATTTAGTTAATAAGTATCAGCTAGGCTTTTTATATCTGTTACATACTGTAAAGTGACCTCAGTGTAATATGGCTTTACTTTTTAAACTCTAATTTAGAGAAAATTTTGAAATAATGTATCAGGCATGAAAATAATTTCAAGTGTCATTTCATTTGCAGGTCTGCATTACATTTGCTGAATTTGGAAAAATGCAAAATATTTGTAACTTTCTTGTTGAAAAGCTAGATAGCTCTGTTGTTATCAGTCAACCCCAGTTCTATCATACTCCAGGTTCTGTTGAAAATCTTCGGTAAGTTCAGCACATCTTTAAATTATCAATTAATTAAAGAAAACTCTTCAGTGTTACAGTTCATTGAATGTCATATTAATAATCTCTGCATTTCATTTCTAAGACGGCAAGCCTGCCTTGTTGCTGTTGAGAATGCATGGCGCAAAGCTCAAGAAGTCTGTAACCTTGTTGGCCAAACTCTAGGAAAACCTTTATTAATCAAAGAAGAAGAAACGAAAGAATGGGAAGGCCAAATAGATGATCACCAGTCATCCAAACTCTCAAGTTCATTAACTGTACAACAAAAAATCAAAAGTGCAACAATACATGCTGCTTCAAAAGTATTTTTAACTTTTGAAGTAAAGGGAAAAGAGAAGAAAAAAAGACATCTCTGAAATTCCAACCAAAATATATTGTGTTTATATCTTTTTGTCTATTTTTATACTTTTTGTAATGTTTACTTTTGCATATATATATATATAGTATAGTATATAAAGTGTTTTCTCCCCAAAATCTGTGAATCCTTATGTTTACTTTTTATTTTGAAAACCTTACTGTGGGAAATACTCTTTGGAAATAAATATGTGCACACTTATATATACTGAATTTATATTAGTATATGTGTAAGTAACTTCTATAGTTCTATAAGAAGAAATATTGACACAGTTAATAGCATGATCATTAACATTAATAGAATGAAAAGCAAAATATAACTTTTGATAAAAGGATAAAGAAGTATATTATGAAAGTATTTTGATACTAGAAATAAAAGGTAATATATGGACCAGACTCTCTTCATCAGAGCTTCTTTGCTTTGATTATGCCAGCACTCTCCAATACAAATATAATGCAAGCCACATAAGGAATTTAAAATTCCCTGGTAGACACATTTTTAAAAATTTTTTAAAACAGTTGGAACTAATTTTAATATTTTATTTAACAAAGTATATCCAAAATATTATTTTATTATGTAATCAATATATTAAAAATAATTAACAGGTATTTTATATTTACTCTTATACTAAGTCTTCAAAATTCAGTATCTTATAGCACATTTCAATTCAGATGCTAAATTTTCACCAGAAATATATTATCTATTTTTAAGTTTCCTAAAGTTTAGTTTAAACAATATATTCACATACCCAAGTTGTTCCAAATATGCTTAAAAGATCTAGCAACTGGATCAACTATCTGTTTTCAAATTAAAATTGTAAAAAATTTAAAATTCAATTCCTTGCTTTTACTAGCCACATTTCAAGTACTCTGAAGCCATTAGTGGCTAATGGTCACCATGTTGAACAGTGCAGGGTTAAACACTGAGATACTACTTAGGCTATTTGAGATGTAACCATGTACATGGCATTGCTATTGAATTACACATTATCTACATGGATTTTCCATTCCCCACCATTCAGCTCAGGTCCCAAAGTTTTTCTTTTGACATATCTTGATACCTATATACCAATATTTCTTCCCTACAACAACATATTCCAGTACAGGCAGTCCAAGCCTGTGGTCCTGACGCTGTCACACCGTAATGACCGATCACCAGGAGGCTGCGTGCTCAGCAGGTGCACACGGGTGGGCTGGGACTTGACACTACATCCCCACGGATGCCAGCAGGACTTGACCAGGAGGTGCATGGGGGGAGTCCCCATGTGGTGCTGGCCCATAGGGCGGGACTCCAGGACTCAGGGGAGCCTTGCAGGCACGTGGGGGGAGGGGGTGCGGGACACGCTTGAGGCAGGCGCCAGCGGGTCTGGGTCTCACGCAATTTCGAGGTGCACACGGGTGGGCAGGGCTGTCTACGGGGTGAGGCTCCTGCGTGCGGGTGGGCGGGGCTGCGTGCATCCAGTCGTATGCCGGTGGGTGGGGACTTGACTCTGGGTCTCAGGGCGGTGGACGGGGCTTGACACTGTGTCCCCACAGGCGCTGGCCCAGGCTGTTGACAGGAGAGAGTGGGGAGCCAGATACCCACACCCAGGACCCAGACAGCAGGGCGGTGGGAGCCCCGTCCCTCGCAGAATCAGCTGTATCAATGTTGTTTTTATATCAGGTTTTTGTTGTTTTTATATCATGTGTTTGTTCTTGTTATATCATGTTGTTTATTTATTAATAAATTTATATATTACTTTTACATGCATTTTTCTAATTTTCTTTAATCTCTGACACTTCTATTATAGAGAAAGGGCGAATAATGATATTAAAATATTCTAATTCCCTTTCAATGTGCACAAATTCATGCACTAGGCCACTAGTTTATTTATAAAAAAAAAAAGTTACGTCATTTCAACGTATGTACATATGTGCTTTATGTTTTTTATTATTTACCACAAGTAAAGGTCAGGAATTGTTATCTTCTAAATTTTTTTTTATTGTTTCACTTCATTACTGCTGTGTATGTGCTCCATGTGAGTGACGTAGGTGCTTATGTAGATGGGTTCCGACTTACAGCGAAAATCACTTACGTCGTGCTGTAGGAACAGATCTCCAACGTAACCTGAGGACCTGCTGTATATAGTTTCCATCCCCACCTTTCTTAAGTCACACTGGAAGTTTTATCCATCTCTTCTGTAATGTTCTTAGCAGGAAGGGAGTGTGGAAGCTAAGATGAAAAGTTTTAGAATCTGACACCACTATGTTCAAATCCTGACTTTACTCCTAGAGTGAAAGCTCCCTTAGAATGGAGATCCTTCCTTCTTTTTTATGGCTGCATTCTCAGCCCTAACATAGTGTCAGGGCTGACCCAGAGTCAGTTCTCGAGTATTTGCTGAGCAAATTTACCAGTTTCGCAAACTTCGCAAGGCACTTGAATCTCTTTAAGCTTCTCTTTCCTCACTAATGAAATGAAACTAACAATACTTACTACTATAAGATTAAAGCTGGTAAAACATAAAACCATGAAAATAATGCAGCCACTCAGTAAATGGTAGCCATTATCAACTGCATTCTCTGATTATTGTCAAAAGTTGGCTTTTCTGCCCTGGCCAGTGTAGCTCTGGTTGAGCATCAACCCATGAACCAGGAGGTCATGGCACATGCCAGGGTTGCCAGCTAGATCCCCATAGGGGGTGTGAAGGAGGCAGTCGATCCATAATTCATCATTGATGTTTCTATCTCTCCCTTCCTCTCTGAAATGAATAAAAACATACTATTTTTTTTAATTTGACTTAGTTCTAAGTCTAACGTTAAGATGAATTTTTAGCCAGATTAAAAATAAGGTTATAAGGAAAACAGTTTAAGATATAATGAATTTGAATTTTTATTTCAAAAAAAATGTTAAATTATATCTTAGCTTTTATTTATCTAGTTGGGTAGAAAAGTGCAATTGGAGCTGTACATAAAGGAAAAAAAACTTTACACTCAAAAATTTAATCATATGGCTAGATTTTTCTTAGCCATGGCTTCATTATATTCTTGGTTCTATCATATTTGTATGTTTCAACTTAGTATAAAAGAATACAAATTTGATTTTAAGTTATCAAACACATTTTAGAATTTGCAGAAATTTTTAAAGATGTTGCTTCAAAAAATAATTATGTAAAATGGACATACAATTCTATAGAGCAGCTAAGAAAATTCTTCAGTCTGGACTGGTTTACGTATGATACCCTGTGTACTAAGGGTGTATCACATTTTGTAGACAGTTGATGGCAATTTAATTTCTGACACATGGCATATACTGGAATCTCACAATGAATTACTTAGTGGACCTGTGCCACAAAGCCTGCTAGAATAAACCTATCCTGAACTCAATCCTAACAAAATTCCTTTCTTCTGAACCTCCTTTTAAAAACTCTTTCCAATCCAGCCTGTGTGTTTGAGCATCAACCTATGAACCAGGAGGTCAGGGTTCGATTCCTAGTCAGGGCACATGCCCGAGTTGTGGGCTCGATCCCCAGTAGGGGGCATGCAGTAGGCAGCCAATCAATGATTCTCTATCTTTGATGTTTCTATATTTCCCTCTCTGAAAATCAATAAAAATATATATTTTTTAAAAATCTCCCCAAAAAGCAGTAAATTCTAATTGTTGTTTTCTTTAAAAAAAAATTCTAATTAGGATATTTGAATCAAAACCACTTCTAAGCTCCTTTATAAAAGGAAATACTATTTAAATAAGGTTTCTAAATACTACTGATAAAATTTGGGATTTTTTTAACTGTAAAATTTATTTATTGATTGATTAAGTTATTATATATGTGTCCTTATCCCCACATTATCTCCCATCCCCCCCATGCATGCCCTTACCCCCCTGTTGTCTGTGTCCATTGGTTAGGCCTATGTGCTTGCATGTAAGTCCTTTGGTTGATATAAATTTAGGATTTTATTTAATTACATTCTAAATTACTTTTTTTTTTGGTAGTAGCAATATACCTTACTTTTATCAGTATTCTTATTTGACAGGTAATTTGAGTTCAATGTAAATAAGACCTGCAAAAATAATTTGTAACTTAAGATGCTGTACCTCATATCCCATAACTTTTATGTCTTCCCCAGGAATGTAGGTCAAGGTTATCCCAATTCTGTCAGACTTGATGAGAATTGAATTTGATAGTAAGGAATTCTTCTGACTGGCATAAAGAAATAAAAATGTGAATTATTAGGTCAACGTGGGATTATGATACCTATATTATAAAATTATATGGAAGGAAAATGCTTTATTATTCATTCCAGGAAAAAACTGTATGTATTATAGTTGAACCTTGAACAACACGTTTTGAATCATGTAGACCCACTTATATGTGAGTTTTTTTCAATAAATACCTGTACTGTTTTGTTCAGCAGTTTGGAATCCACAAATGTAGAGGGCTATGCCACCCTTTATAGGGGGCTTGAGCATCCTCAGAAATCCTGAAATCGATCCTCAATGGATGCTAAGGGACAACAAAGTTTTTGGGGAGTCAAAAGTTATATGTGGCCGAAACCGGTTTGGCTCAGTGGATAGAGCGTCGGCCTGCGGACTGAAAGGTCCCAGGTTCGATTCCGGTCAAGGGCATGTACCTGGGTTGCGGGCACATCCCCAGTGGGAGATGTGCGGGAGGCAGCTGATCGATGTTTCTCTCTCATCGATGTTTCTAACTCTATCTCTCTCCCTTCCTCTCTGTAAAAAATCAATAAAATATATTTTTTAAAAAAAGTTATATGTGGATTTTCACTGTGTGGTGGGAGGTGGTTGGTATCCCTAACCCCCACATTCTTTAACAGTCAATTGTAGTTTAATTAAAATAACATAAATAGCCCTGGCTGGATGACTCAATTGTTTGGAGCATTGTCCAGTACACCAAAAGGTTGTGGGTTCAATTCCTTGTCAGGGCATACCTAAATAGCGGGTTTGATTCCCTGGTCAGAGCACATACAGGAGGCAAACTGTCGGTGTTCTCTCTCACAGCAATGTTTCTGCCTCCCTTCCTCTCTCTCTAAAAATCAATAAAAATAAACAATAACAAATATTTATCAGTTTTTTATGCAAATAGCTTCTACTCATAATCTAATGTGGCCTAAATTACTTTAACATGTTCAGTTATGTTAAAAGACTAGAATTCACAGTGGCTAATCCAAGTCAAACACTACTTTCAGGATGAGGTAATAATTTCC